CAACCTCAAACAGACAGCGTATACGTTCGACCATGACCGAATATGTGGCATAAAATGGCAGCAGAATATCCCACTTCAGTATAGAAATATATAGAGAATAGATTCCCTATCTTCAACTAAAGCATTCGGATAAGAGGCGGGGGGGGGGGGGGAGTGATTATATATGAAAAGAAGAGAAAAGTGAGCCCCGCAACTGTCTCTCAGGGGGAGGACACCTCAACAGTAGCTCACAAGGAATGGGGGAGAGACGGATTAAAAGAATATGGTTAAAGATATAGAGAGAGATGCGCAAGGACAACGAGCGACGACATAGGAAAGATGAAACACGGTCACAGGAGTCCGAGGACGGAGTACCACTCGCGAGAGCTCTTGTCGGCGTCAGGAGATGTCGTAGGGCCAGCCCAGTCGGCCAGAGCTACGCTGTCGTCGGAGATCATGAGGGCACACCGGTCGACACGAAATCCAGCGAGCAAATGAGAGAACCCAGTCGGACCGTCGGTATGCTGGTATTGAGAACGCCATTCCGAACGAGTAGCTGACTGTACCACACGGCACACTAGAATCGTTGTCATTCTGCCCGAATGCTTCGACTGCATTCGAGGCGTGATTCTTCCATGTATATTCGTGAAATAAATTAGCGATACTCCCAGCACGTATGGGTGTTACGTAAGCGATACACTCTGAGGAAGCAGTACAAATTGATCACGTGTTTTGTCGATCATATCAAAGTGTGAGTGCGGCGCATATCCTTCGCGAGAGGTCAACAAACGTAAAATCAAGCATGATTGCGTAAATTAATTAATTGATTGATATGTGGGGTTTAACGTCCCAAAACCACTATATGATTATGAGAGACGCCGTAGTGGAGGACTCCGGAAATTTAGACCACCTGGGGTTCTTTAACGTGCACCCAAATCTGAGCACACGGGCCTACAACATTTCCGCCTCCATCGGAAATGCAGCCGCCGCAGCCGGGATTCGAACCCGCGCCCTGCGGGTCAGCAGCCGAGTACCTTAGCCACTAGACCACCGCGGCGGGGCCGTAAATTAATTAATTAAATTATGAAACCGTGCCTTAAGGTACTGCCGCACCCATGCGTTCCCTTCGTGTATTCGAGGCTCTGTTCATAAAGACGAAGCCGATTCGTTTTGTAACCAGGGACGACAAAGACGACTCGAGGCCGCTCATTTATCTTTTCCTTTATGCCGGCTGTACAGCACACAGAGGGCCATGTCGCCGTGACAGGTCTGAGGCTATACCACGACCTTCCCGTGCTGCGTTTGCGCGAGATGTTTTATTGCCTTATACGAGCGGCGGAGCGAGCCTTCGCTGGTGATAATATCCTCTCTTTTGAGGACGCTTGACCGCACGAAAAGCGTCGCAGAGATGAAGTTTTCCGGGGCCCTATAAAAAGCCAACGGGGCCTAGCGATGGCGCGTCATATAACGTCACTCTCACGCTGCAAGACCGTCAAGGCACGGAAGCGAGCGGTGGTCATCACAAACGGCCGTCAGGACCATGCGGCATGGTTTCAAATGGACACTTAGGGGTTAGCCCGGAGGCACGTTTTTCTGCCTAGACAGATGTCATCGGTTCGACCACGGGCCGGAGGCGTCTAGACGTGGGCGGAATGCGGAAAAGTGCTCAGTGTGCTCTACTTTCACTATCAGCCCGACTACACCCACTGCAGGACAAAGGCCTCAACTCCAGATAACCCGGTCCTGTGCTACCAGAGGCTACGTTATTCTCGCGAACTTTTTAGTCTCATCTACCCACCTAATTTTGTGAATACCCCTCGCACGCTAGCCTCATCTTAGAATCCAGTCTATTATTCCTAATGACATGCAATTTTCTTTCCAACGCGCCCCATGCCCTGCCCATTTCTTTTTTCTTGATTTCGGCTTTCATGTGTTCAACAGATATTTGTTTCCTAACCTACACAGTCCTCCTGTCCGTTCTAGTCACACCTATACCACTGTTCTTTGCATGGCTCACTCAAGGGTGCTGTGGTTGCGGTTAATGGAAAAAAAAATTTAAGGTAGCCAACATCAATCCCTAGTACATCACTACACAACGCCTCTCGTAAACTTTGTGCTATATTGGGACCTCACATAAATAACGAACTGAAAATCACGCTAATTTCTCATTCACAAAAGTATATTTGTGCAATATCACAGAAACCACTCGGAGAGATGAGTAAGTCAGAGGTCAACGGTATAAAACGGTAAAAGTATTCGAATGACGATGGCACCAGGAAGTTCGCGCAACTGTTTGCCGTGATGTGATGAACAGAGCGCTGCTCGGGCCTTGTTTGTTTACGGGTAAATATAGAATGTCCAGGTATTTCCCAGAGACAAACACCGAACTTTTCAAGTTCATTGAAACTCAACTGCGTACGTGCATGAGTGAGTGAGTGCATTCTAAGCAAGTCAGCTTATAGAACGTTTAGAGAAGACCTTGCGGCGTCAAAATCATTATTATTACAACTTTTACAACCAGATTTCAAGAATATGCAATTTAAAGAGACAAAAAGAACGCAAGGAAGAGCTGGGAAACTAAGGATAGGTATGTGTGGTTTAACGTCCGAAAACCACCATATGATTATGAGATACGCCGTATAGAAGAGAGCTCCGGAAATTTGCACCACTTGAGTTTTTTTAACGTGCACATAAATCTAGGCACACGGTTGTACAGCCCCTGGAAAGTAAGGGTAGACAACATTTGTATGCACTTAAGGAAGGAGAGATCGAAAGCAGAAACGGTATGAAAGGAAAACAAATAGCCTGCCAAAACAATGTGAAAAAGTGTTTTGAAATCAGAAGTGTAGAAGGTGCACACAGAACGCGTAGAAAAATAATTATTTCGACAGTGCGCAGAGATCAGATGAAACAAAAAAGAGGTAGATCAAGGAAAGAAGACTTTTTTTTGAGCAGGTCGATAGGCTAGTATAGAGCCTGTACATTTCGATCAAAGGCTTGAAGACTTAGAATCCCGAATCAAGAAATGTAGCAACAAATGCTGTTTCAACTTGTTCAAGTTTCAATATGCAAATTGATAGTGCGGCCTCAATCACACTCGTCTAATAGAGTGGTCGACGAACTGGTTGCAGACGGTCACGCAGGTAGCCGCCGCTAACCTGGCTGTAGCCGCAGCGTTTTACTTGTGCTAGCACTATAAAGCACGTGGACTGAAAATGCGGTATGACCTCGAGCGATATGACTGCGGTGCTGACCAATGCATAGTTTTGCAAAATACTGCGGCTGATTCATGACCATAAACATGCGCGTTTCAGGCTGTGCGACTCGGGGTCACGTTCGTTAATGCTGCACTAAAAATATATATTTTAAATAATCACAGCGGTTGCTGGTTCACGAATATTCACTCCGTGTGAATCCCGTAACGTGCCGAAAGTCGTATCCTCTCGCAACAATTGTTCGTAAGCTGTTGCCCTACGAGTCGTAACGATTCTCAGAATGCCTGTTACTTTCACAGTCGCAGCTGCAAGGGAAAACAACCGAGGGAAAGTCAGCAGCCAGTTCAAACCGGTGCAGGTTGGAGCTACATTCTAAAGCTGCCACGGAAGCGTCAATTCTTTTTTTCAAATAGTTATTGGCATTCACCGCAAGGAATTCCCATTAAAGTTTAATTGGAGTGTCATAAACGTGTGCCGTGCTGTTTCGATGCGGGCAATGCAGCAATGAATCGGTAAACTTTTTTGTTTGCACTTTTACGCGACTTTGCCCGTACACGGTGACACGCCCCCTTCCGCGCAAATCGAGCTACACAGCAGTCGGAGGCTTGGAGGGCTGGACAAAACCAAGTGGCGGTTAAAGCCACGACGCGATTTCAAGCTACGCACTGGACGAAGCGTTTAAACGCTCGTTAGCAGCCCGTTTGCATACGAGGAAAATCGACCACTTTCTTAATTTAATGCTAACCAAATCATTTCGCCGAATCGAACCCCAAAGGAAATGATCCGAAGAAGTGTCGCTCTGCTAGCTCGTCAAACTGGAAGCGGCATAAGCAACAAAAAAAATGTTTTTTTGTATAATAAACTGTGCCACCACTCAATGCGCCAAACACCGCCGTATTGCCCGAAACGTAACGACAGCTTGTCTTTAGCCACAGCTCTACACATGCCAGCACATAATACACCTCACACTGCATCGGTGCATTTGAATGTGCGCGTTTCTTTGTTTCTTTTTTTTTTTTGCACGAAAGGAATCACGAGCTGGGCGTCAAACCGGCATAAGTATTGCGCGATTCGTGGGCGTACGGCCACAAATTGTTCCGAACGTTATCAGTTCCACCGACCGACAAAGATGTCAGCGATTAAGCAAATTCGACCTAGAGGTAATTAAAACACATGACAAGGCGGGGGGGCGTAAAAACGAAGCGGTAACGTCAGATGCCGTAGTCGCAGTGAGAGCACAAGATATGTCAATTGTGCAGGACGTGCCGTCAAGATGGTCAATGAAAGTGGCGACATAAATACCAACATGGCAACTTACATATGCGATAAGATCCGCGATGTGAGAGGAAGCTCTAACGGCCGAACGACTTCATCAAACACAGTACACGCCGTTATCACTTTGATATAGCACTCTACTCGAAGTGTAACAAAAAAAACGCTGAAACGAGCGATGTGGCAATCGTACGATGCGGGAAATTAAATCGTAGTAACATACCTGACCTTACTCTTAGTTCGCGAAGTATGAATAAACAGAACGGTACAACGACCGAATTGAAGGCATTCCGCTCGCAATGAACGCACACCTATGCGAAAAAAAAAAAGAATACAACGAGGAAAAAAAAAATGTGAGAATTTCAAACGCTGTACGCGCGTCCGTTTCGAACGTAGCTTGACCTCAAACTGAACTTCGATGTCAAACCGTTTGACACGTTCAAGGCCAGATCGGCGGGGAAGGCCGCCATGTGGGTGAGGAATCTGTTGAAGCTTACAAGTCCGCATCAATATTCGCGAACGACAGAGGCTTACCTGTCCTGCTTGGCCGGCGCCGAGACGGAGGCATTCAACGTCTTGTCCATGCAGGAAGTCTCCGACGCTGCCATGGCTCTTTCTTTCGAGAGGTCAGCGCGGTTCCTAGACGAGCGACACGACCAAGTAGGATGGCATCCTCAGTCGACTGGCGATCATGATGCCCGATATTCCATGAGACGACGTCGTCGGCACAGCCGCCACGGCTCGGAATTTCCGACCACAGAAAAAGAGCGAGGCAGGCAGGCCTCTTCGGAGCGCAATAACACCTGGCTGCCGCCGCGTTGGTTGTACTTCACTCCGTCCCGCACAAACTAACCTTGCTTCACCACGATCCACAAGTCTCCGATGAATTCCACGCAGGTAAATCGACGCCGTCTACGCAGGCGACGGCACCCTGCGGTCGTTTCGTAGTCGAGGAAAAAGGTACGCCGGCGCGCTGGCGTTCAAAACAAAACCGTCGCCTTCGGCACTCGTTTCGTCGCTGCTTGCTTCTCCCAGTTGCCGCGGTCGCCAAGGCAGCCGCTGTAGCGGCAGCGTGCGCGAAAGCAACACGTGACGCCGCACGCGAGCGCGGCGCCTCTGGCGAGTTGCGCAGAAAGCGCGCAGAGAAGAATTGTGCGCGCGAAATTCAAACAGAGCTTGAGCCGTAAAACTCAACCGAGTCGACGACTGAAAACGGCAAACTTCTTCAGTCCTACAAAAATCAATACCATATGTTCTATAGGTAAAGAAAGCGTAAGTTCAGTGGTCTTTCATAACTTACGAAATTCCGCGATGATTTTCAGCGAGTTAGTATTGAACTTGCACGCTCGCTAAACTTTTAAAGAGACGAAAAATGATGTCTTCTGACCAATGAAGCGTCACAAACCTCGCTCTGCAGAAAAGAGTGGGTGATTCCGTAAGGTCGGTTTTCGGCATTTATAGAAAGCCACTTATGTTACAGGCTGTCATGCGTAATTACAATGTCTTATTGGCGCGGGCTACCCGAGTGTACAGATGGGAGGGTTCAAAGTGCTAAGTTCGGGCGGATTTCTTCTAAAGCGTTTCACCTTGTACACATTTCGCATCAATGATTAACTCACTCACCCATAGCAATTTTTAATTAATAAACTTATCCATAACTGTACATCAAAAACAGACTCAGCTTCTTGTATTCTTCCATTTTGCGTTTAGAAGCGTACTGAAACATCCTGCAGAGCGGCATAACGATACAGTAATGTGCAGGCACACTCTCTGAATAAGATAATAAAACAAAGAGTGGCTTACAATCGAGTAGGGTTTGGTGGTTGGGGTTAGGTCAATACAGCAAATCCAAGCGAACGAAATTTATATTCACTGCGCAACAAACTGGTCGGCCAGGCAAACGCGCGCCTCCATTCAAGCAGTCCTTCGAGCGCGGCACAGAGTCGGCATCTCGTGGCAAGAGAAAGAAGCGCGCCGCCGCTTCTGTTTTGACTCGAGGGTGCTCCACCGCACGGCACTCCTCGACACGAAACGTAAACTGGCCTTGGAAAGGTCACCGGTACCTGCGAGCGAGCGCCGGCGGTAGCGCGGCAACGGCTGCTGAATGCCGGGGCCTCCCGTCTCCCTCTCACATACGGGGGAGGGCTAGATAGCCTGTAAATGCCTCCGCTGCTCTCTCGGCTCGGCGGGCGTAGCCGTTGCCAGAGAAGCTTCCGGTTCGGCCCCTAATGATTACCGGTTCACCGTTCCCTAATATGCGCAGCGGCCTGTTGCGCGAACCGTCCAAACAACGCGGGAGATGCACTTTCCACGAAGCCACCACGAGCTTCTCTCTCTGTCACAGAGAGAGAAGCTCTCCGAACCTTTCCGAGGGGTAGCGGCGACCTTTGAGCTTGACTGTACGCTTACCACAAAATGTTTTTTTTTTCTTTATCGTTCTTCCGATGCTACTTGAATATAGCGTTTGCGCAAATGTTGGCACATGCGGCAAGATACGCCAGCACTCCAGTTTTTAAATGCAAGGCATTTCTTTGAGTACTGCAGGCACATTCAGCATCTATCTATCTATCTATCTATCTATCTATCTATCTATCTATCTATCTATCTATCTATCTATCTATCTATCTATCTATCTATCTATCTATCTGTCTATCTATCTATCTATCTATCTATCTATCTATCTATCTATCTATCTATCTATCTATCTGTCTGTCTGTCTGTCTGTCTGTCTGTCTGTCTGTCTGTCTGTCTGTCTGTCTGTCTGTCTGTCTGTCTGTCTGTCTGTCTATCTATCTATCTATCTATCTATCTATCTATCTATCTATGATAGATAGCTACGCCTGGGTGTAAGAGGACTAAAACACCAAAGGGCTCTAGGAAGGACAAGATGGTTTACGGATATGACTCGCTGGTCATTACATGAAGAATGTCGCAATTCCGTCGCCTAAAGCTCCAAGGGGCAATAGTGAGGACATGATGGTTTACGATTATGACTCGTTGGTCATGACATTAAGAATGTCGCAATTCCGTCGCGTACGTCGTCTAACCTTTCCCGCCAGACGTGTGGCACATACCCGCGGGCGGGCATGTCCCACAGGCATGCGGGTCTGTTCCACAGGTGATTGGCAGTTTATATCCACCCAGGAACGGCGAGAACAGACATGGGTAATTTTGACGCGTCAGCGTTAAGCAAAAGAAGAAACAAAAACTGACATCAGCAACGTTGACCCGATGAATGAATGAATAAATGTGACTCAGGGTCCCAGCAGGAATCGAACCTCGGTATTTTGCGCGGCAATCAAGTATTCTACTACACAGTCATGCCAGGTTTAGGAACTACCTTTCAATAGGCCCTAATGTTCGTTAAGCATGCATTGTGTTTGCAGTGCTGGCTATCCAACTTTATCAACATTAAATACTTACTTCTCTGATACAGCCATCACGTCTGGTTAACGTCAGTTGTAGTTGAGGTGCTACGAGCTGAAGTTTATTTTTGCAGCAGTGTCCAGTGCCCCCATCCTCACGAGCACCAGCGCTACATATCAGCTTACCGCTTCTGGTGTAGCTAATATGCATGTTGCTGTTGGCATTGTTACGCAACAGAAAACAACTGGTTATACAAAATAAAAGCGGCTGCTTAACGTGTGGCTCTGCGTGATTTTGCATATATTTAGCATCACTTCATAACGTTTCATTCAACAGAAAATAAATAACAGTCACCTTTCATCCACATGCTTCCCATAACATCGATTCCCAAAGTGCGTGGAATATGGCGACCTTTCCAGAGTAGAACATATATACCGTACTTGCACGATTCTAGCACGCACTTTCGTGCACGCTATAATCCCGCTCGAAAGCGAAACAAGCGAGAGCTGTTTTTTTTTTTAGTTTTTCGAATGTCAAACCACTTGCACAATGCAATTCGAATCGCACTATAGCTGTGGAAACACACTGCTTTATTCCGCTAATCACGGGAGGACGATGAATCATGGCAATTTTTCGAAAAGGTAATGAAAATAATAATAATAATAATAATAATAATAATAATAATAATAATAATAATAATAATATTAATAATAATAATGCTTTGATATTTTAGTTTTGAAAAATAGAAACAACGAAGCACCAGTTTAAAACGAAACTCTTTGCTGGCGTACTAATGTGTTAAAAAAGTAGTTATCCCTAAATAGCTTATTTTATTGATTCACAACAAATTTGTACATTGTATGTGACACGGATATCTCAAAGAGAGTTTCGCCACCTAGGCAGATACTCTTTCGCTTTTTTTTCTTTTTACCAACATCAGATTCATTCAGCAAAGCTATATTAAATAACACTGATTTCGCTTACTTTGATTCAGATACACTGAAAACACGAGCCTACATATGAATTGGGGAAGGAAGAGGCTTAGAAATGCCCCCCAAGGTGACAAAACACCTGCCTTAGGTGGCAAAAAAAAGAACACAAAATACGTGAATAAGAGCCGTACATTATGCCCGATCTCTTGAACCAGTAATTATTAACTATGTATATTTTAGGGGATTCCTTGTGAACTGGAATAAGCAATGAGAAACCTCTGATAGTAAGAAAAAAAAAAGGGAGGGGGTGTTATAAATCACCGCAACATGCAGCGTGAAGTAGCTGCCTTTATTTCTCCCTGGCACAAAAAAAAAATGATCATGCTGAGGAACCTTAACAGCTTGTGAATAAGTCGCGCGATTCGCAGTCCCGTTCAACCCCTTTTTAACTACGTTTTCTCTTTAAAAAATCAAGCCTGGGAAATCCATGGTTAGCCCCATCATCAAGAAAAGGGGGAACGTAAGCGAGCTCCGCCGCAATACAGGTGCATTCTGCGGTGAAGCGTACCAAACACTAAGAAGGGGTCGTTATGACGGTTCTCGGGGATAGTGTGCCTCCGAAAAAAATACGAATTTTTTTTAATTGAAGATAGATTTCGTGGATTCTTCAAGATGGCTTCGCTGACCCCAGTTGAGAGCCAGTGCAGTAAATTCTCCCAAAATTGCCCCCTCAATGTTACACAAGCTCGATGAAACTTAGTGCAGAGGCAGTGCATAATGCTTAGGGCCTTATACAAGAAGTTGTATAGCGCTAGACCTGACCCACCTCAATAGCTCAGCACGGGGTCTATGGGGATCAGCGGCGGATCTAGACCCTCATTTTAGAGGGGGCTGTCGCCTAAAGTAACACCGGAGACAGAGGCGTGGTCATTACTTTTGTTTTGTTTTTTTTACAAGCACAAACACTCTATCATAGCATAAATACTATTATGTGTGCTCAAAGGCATCCCACTCCTTTTGTCCTTATTGGTGATAGCAGGTGGACGGCAAGCCCTGAAGATAAGGGGAGTGGGTACTGACAGGCTTTTTGGGGTTGGGGGGGGGGAGGCGATCGCCCTACCGCCCCCGCTTCTGGATCCGCCACTGGTAGGGATGCTAAAATGCAGGGCGTGGGTTCGATTCCCAGCCGCGGCGGCCACATTGCAGAACATGCGCCATAAAACTTACTTTCAGTATGCTCCGTATAGCTCCTGTCCCTCTCCTTTGTCTTTTTTTTTGTTTTGTTAACAGAACGTAATGTCATTCACTGAAGCAACGCCAAATAAGGGAAATGTTGATTGAAGCACACAAGTAATTTAAACGCCGTGTGTTCTCGTCGGACAGTTTGGGAATGAAGTATTTTACAACAGTGATGTTACCCTGAAAATTTGTTCAAAGTGAGCAGGCATACGAAAGCCCATGGCCACAACTGAACAAAATTGAATATAACTTTATTCGGTCTAGCAGAACATGACGAGGCCACACATAGTTTGTGATTACACTATGTACTGTAATTCATAAATATATTTAGTAATTAATCGCTATAGTAAATGTATTTCACAATTTCGCCTGCTATTGTAATATCCTAGTACTTGGGCTAAATAAGCGCAACGAGTGTAGTATAAGTGGTCTAGCTATACTCACTCGGTTAAACAACATTTTCGAATTCTCCCCTGTTTATACGAAGGAAGTGTCATTTATGTGCATG